GCCCCGCAAGCCTGAATCAGCTGACCCGGGCCAGGTGAGGCCACGCCTCAGGTCTTTTATTGCAGTGTAGAGGTACTCTCAGAGCCTGGGTCAAGTGACTCGAGCTTACGCTGACGGGCAAAAAATAAGTGTGTAGGTGGTTGGGGTCAGCCTGGAGCCTGGGCTCTGAGACCCTCCTCTCTTGCTGGGTTTCAGAGCCCGGACTCTAGCCTAACCGAGCACAATTACACTGCTATTTCTAGCCCCACAGTGCAAGCCCAAGTCAATCGACCAAGACTCTATGGGTATCTCTACACTAGACTCACTGCTTCGGGTGGGGGATTTGCTGTGTAGATGTTGTTTTCACTCAGTTCCCCAAGAGCTTAGTTCAACTCCAGTCTCATCACTCAGGTTCCTTTATTTGGCATACTGCAAAGCCACACTGAGTTGATCACACTCAAATGTAGGCGGTGGGTATAGGGTGTGCCACACATACATAGTTACACAGCAAACCTCTTCCTTCAAATACATTTACAGATGTTTTCGGATTGGCTTGGTTACTCTGCAGGAATTTCTGTATTGCGTGTTCTGTCCCTACACTGCCCATGCAGGATGTACTCTATATGTCATCTTGCTTTCCAGGCTTATGTTATCTGTTGTGATCTTGTCCATTGTAAATGATTCCTTGGGTGTTCCCCCTTATCTTAGCTAGTACAGACATTCTGCTTCCTGCCTGTTGATCCATTTACTTCCCTAATCCTGTCTCCCAAAAAATGAGCCTCACCCGTGTCCAATAACTCATGTCAAACAAGGCCTACATTCCACTGCTTTCGTTTTACTTTTTTATATTAGCATTTGTTTCATTTGCATTATGTTTCTGGTTTTTTGGGGCTTTCTTTTTAAAGTTTGCTATCCAGCAACACATTCTCAAGACCACAGTAGTTGTAATAATTTGAACCACCATTAATAATAGGCTTAAAGTTTGAACCGGGGATGCATGCTCACCTCCTTTGGTATAGCCCACCAGCGTGTAATCCCACATGATAATATTCCTCTACCTTTAAAGCATCCTTCAGTAATTTTAACTATGCTTTTATTTTAATTACATTATAAAAAGCTGGTACAAAATATAAAAATCTTTTCCTTTATAACCACAAGAAATGTAGTTGTGAAACAGAACATAGTCCAATTAAAATAACACTCCCTGGGTCCATGTCAGAAGTGTTCCTCATCAGCCACCACCCAATACTTATCACCAGCCTGGGCAGTTTTTAATTTACCAGCATTTCAACCATACTGTGCAATTTGGAGACACTTCCCCTACAGTGACTCCACAAGCAGACAACTCTGTTTGAGACATTACACCTGCACGCATAGGTGTCCCCTCAGATGCAAACAGCAGTACAAGTCTGGGGCTTTCCAGACCCTGCACTGTCTAGCAACAGTATTTTAGGGTGGTAAAGAAAATTCTTTCATGCCGTATGGGTTGCAGTAATTTCACATTTAACTTCATGGTACTGGACCCTTGTTAATTTTCTTACCTGTCTTGTACTGAATTTTTAACTTTTCTGTGGTGATAAGAGGGCAAGTTTTTCTTGCTCCATATATACTACACATGTTGGTATTATTAAAACGCATTGACTTAATCCCATACTTCCTTAAAAGCAATTACAACATTATGTATATTCTATACAGCTAACAAAGCTTCAGAATGAGTCTTTACCCCACTATCATGGTACATACTGGGTGAAATCATTGCCCCACTGAAGTCAATGGGAGTTTTTCTATTCATCTCAATGGAGTCAGGAATTCACCCATTGTATCTGAATTTAAAACATTCCCCCCAAAAAACAGTTAATGAAAGGTTGTTACTGCCTACCAGCAGACACACTTTGTTGAAATACAGTTTCAGTGGCATGGCTGATACATTAACCTATGCAAATTGTCATCCACAGTGTTGTAGATCCAGATCATTTAAGATATTCGTGATTACTGTTTAATCTGAAAAAAATATTCGTGTGAAGATAAAATTTTACTTTGCTCAATCCAGAGCTTTGGGTGCAAAAGATCTTTTGTAAAGAGGGGAAGTTAAGAATGCAGAAATCTGATTTATTTCTTTGGGAAACCATAAAAACAGTGCTTGGCAAATTAATATTATTTTGCTATGAGTGTACAGAGATTTCAACTGTTTTCTAATGTGCAGTTCTGCAGTGGTGAGTGTCCAGACAAACAAGCAATTGACATGGTTTATAAGTAGAGCAGATGTTGTGGGAACTGAGATTAGTTCAGTTTCACTGACTTTAATTTGTAAATTATAAAACATTGTGAACTTCATTCTTTATAAATGTGGGGGGGAGGACCCTGAGACAACTTGTGAGGACCCCTCATAAACACTAATATGTCCAATGAATATTCAAGATCGTCCTCTCATGTACACAAATATAAGCAGCTTTACACACACTAATAATACCATTGAGGATTGGTTCCATGCACTGGAAAAACTCATTTCCTCTCACAGCCTCTTTCTGCTGTCAGATGTCTTCTTACATCTATACAACCAACTCTACCTATACAGTCTACATACTGCCACTGTTCTCTCCCACACTATAAACAGGATGCGTGCAAGGGGATGGCAAGGGAAAGTCTGTAGCCCATGACTCTCTCCTACTCCACCAGCATGTTGTGATTAGAGATACCAACATTTCACAGGGCAGCAGACCCATAGAATCATAGAATATCAGGGTTAGAAGGGACCTCAGGAGGTCATCTAGTCCAACCCCCTGCTCAAAGCAGGACCAATCCCCAATTTTTCCCCAGATCCCAAATGGCCCCCTCAAGGATTGAACTCACAACCGTGCGTTTAGCAGGCCAATGCTCAAACCACTGAGCTATCCCTCCCCCTCGTCAGTCACAGCCCTGCCTCCTGTAATGAGTCAGGAAATGGTTGATCTCTGTAAAGCTGTGCAAATAATGGGTTTTTTTGGTTTGCTGGCTGTGCTGAAAAGTCTGAAAAGAATCATTTGAGGTCAAACAGAACTGTTTTGACTCAGAAAATTGCAGTTTTTCCTTTCAAAAATGTTGAAATGAAACAGTCAGATTTTTCAGAATCTTTTTCAACTCAAACAATTCAGCAAATTTGACATGAATTCTGCATATTTTGGCCAAAACGGTCACTCAGCGCTAGGTCTATGTAGGTACTTACATTACTCCAAACACCTAATAGCTGAGATCAGAACAGCTGACGTTTTACCCTCCCCTGTCCACCATTCAACTATGAACTAGTAAATGCAATCTATGCCATTCACTTTCCACATACAGAATAGAAATCCCTGTACTTATTTCACTCACCTTCCCAGTATGGCTGGCGACACCAACCTACAGTCATAAATCAGATTTGCGACTTTATCCCACCTATACTATGCATACAAGGTTGCAGATACCAGAGTATAATATTTATTGAAACTGAGACTATTATTTCTTCATGGAATACGGGCTGGAACCAGCACATATCATAATCTATGACATTTTCATTTGCTGTTCATGATGTGAAAAGTTGCCGTCAGTCATCCTAAGATCATAGAATCATAAAATATCAGGGTTGGAAGGGACTTCAGGAGGTCATCTAGTCCAGTTCCATAACTTGTTTTAATTCCAGTGATATACCTGTCTGCCCATTAGTAGACAGTGAGTGGGGGACATAGTGTGAGAGCTCTGTGTGGAAACTTAATTTCTTTAATATCAGTTTCTTCCCCTCTTATTGTGCTTTTTCATTTGTTTATTGTACATATATATTGAATCTGACTTCACTTTAAAGTATATTTATGGGGGAGGATGTGTGTGTGTGTGTGTGTGTGTGTGTATATATCCAACAAATATATTATTTCAGTTTATACTGTAAAGAAAAAGAATGCCTATCCCAGGCTCTGGACACCCTTGACAACTTTTTTTAAAAGCAGCAATTAAACACCCAGTCCACAGCAAACATACGGACTGAAGTTTAAGCCCTTCTAGCACTCCTCTGCCCCACTGAAGAGTACCCTGCCACTACTCAGACTCCCAAATCCCCCATTTCTCTGAAGCCAGGGAGAACAGCTAGGCCTTGCAGTATGACCTTAAGGTTAATGATGATGTGGTTTTGCCAATAGAGGTAACCGAAATTTTTTAACCAAATATTTTTGTCCACATTTTTTTTGTGTCAAAATCGAACTATTTCATGATAACCGTTCAGTTATGACTAATTTTTGGATTTCTTTGATGAAAAAAATGAAAAAAAATGAATTTTTTCATCCAAAAAATCAAAAATGCCTATGAAAGCAGAAGGCAAATAAGAAACACCCCAAATTGGTTATTTTCTTAAATCTCATTATTTTAAAGCAATCTTATGATTTGGGTAGTGGTCTGATGTGTTCTCTTTCAATGCTTGGGTTTAGCAATATTGAACATAGGCTTTTACAGACCCAGGCCCTGATCCAAGCAAATCTCTTATGCACATATTTAATTGTCAGCACATAAGGAGTCACATTAAATACATGCTTATGGGATTTGTTGGCTAGAGGCTCATGGGAAGGAGAGAATGCCAAAGGCCCGGGGCTTGAACAGAGAATACCCTGCCAGCAGCCCATGAATTCTTTATACCAGTGAGGCTCCTGCTCTGGTGCCCCTGCAACTGTGTTAATATGCCATTGGGGGAGGGGTGTCTATTAGATAGGTAGGTCCCAGGCCATTAGTGTTTTTTAGGTTAAAACCAACATCTTAACATCAACCTGGACTCAAACAGGTAGCCAGGTGTAATGTGCTCATGGAAAAACATCACTTACCTAGTAGGATGTCAAATGCTGCACCACCATAAACTTCCACATGGGGTAAGTTGTAGCTCTCTCTATATGGAATCCTGTTGGAGTGGATATTTGCCAACTGATTGCAGGGAAGATGTGAAAGCTTTTGCAACAGTAGGAGAGGGAAGAATCCTTACTACTAAAACAATACAGTCCTTGTGTAATTTTCCATTTTTTTATCCATAGGTGAAACAATCTATATTATTGCATATACATCTTGCATAGTACTCATCCTGGGAATAATCCTGGTGGCTCTCCTAAAGACCAGGTAATCTGACAAAGTTACAAATCTTTGGTATTAGGAAATTGGCATTCTAGAGATGAGAGTTACTCTCCTGACATTTTGACTCTACCTTTGTAGTTGTGTTTAAAATGCAGTACAATGTATCCCAGTGCTAGAATGAATTAGTCCTGCTGGTACCCACCTGCTCCACCCTGTCAGAGGTAGGAGACTCAGCATGGAAATCTGTTTTGTGCACATCAATAATGCACTATGCTTAGCAAAAGGGACTCCATTTTCCAGCTTCCCTGTCCATCTCAGGTGAGGGTGAAACCTGTGGGCAAAATGTTGGGGGAGAGCAGGAATACTTCCCTGGCAAACAGGGGATGAACAGGTTGAATACTCACCTTGGGGTATGTTCACAAACCCATGCGTGGAGTTTTTTATCAGTGCAGGTCCCATTATTGTTGATGGGAGTTCTGTGGCAAATTGTCAGAGTGAAGGGTGTACCACATTTTATCTTACAAAGTGGCAACAAAAAAAATACACATTAACTTTGTCAAGTGCACAAATGTTTGTTTACATACACAAGTTAAATATGATGCATTTTATTGGGCCAGATTAAATGGCCAGGTTTTAAGACACACAATGTCACAGGATGGGGAATAGAACCAAAGGTGGCAAGAGATATAGTGGTAGGGTGTTGCGTGAAATTTCATTATTAAATTCTGAGACAGAGATCAAAGAGGAATTTTGTAGAAAGATGCAAAAGACAAGTCGAGGATATGTGGAATACAGTTTATTTCTTTTCATATATATGGTTTGCAGTGACTGGAGACTATCAGTCAAGAGTATAAATAAAATGGGATTAAACATGGGTAGAAACAATTTAGAAGAAAGTACATTAAGTACTGTGAAGGGACTGATTTTATACCACAATGCTCATCGCAAATATAAGGGTTGAAATGCTGGTTCCATTGAAGTTGGTGGGAGTTTTGCTAATGACTTCAAAGGAACCAGAATTCCACCCAAAAGCTACATAACTGCACTATTAAATAAATGTACACTCTCTGTTTTCAGAGCCTGCAGAGCAACATATCCATCAAGAAATCCCTCACCAGTTCATTCATCTGAGATTCTTATGGTCCATTAACAGTCATAGATAATCAATATTCTGGCAAACTCTCTTTAAGGCTATTCTTGGTAGCCAGCCTGTTGTGGATAAGTCATAATAAAATGTATGTTATAAAGTCTAGTTTGTGATGGGATTTTGTGGTTGAGAGTATGAAAGAGTTTTATATTTACTTATATGTACAAAACCTTTCCCAAATGGAAAAAATGTTAAAATTGCACTCATTCACTCACCTGTGCATGCTCATTGATTTATATGGCACTGTCTATGTCCCATAGTTTTGGACTGTCAGTATATGATTGTAAAATCTTCTTCTTCATCATCTGGCTGATGGAAAGGTAGAACAACAACTATAATTTTACATTTAGATGGTTAATCCAGATAACCTGTGTCTGGAGCAGCAGAGTGTATTGCAGGGATGCCTCTTTTGTATTTGTGACTCCGGCACTGAGTTGTTATATGTTACATGATCTGTTCTGGGTGACCACAGTTGCACACGGAGAATCTTTAATTTTACATTTGAGCATCTGTCATAGTTTGTGGTAAAAATATTATATCCGCATGAATCTGGGCTAGCTACATGGCTAAGAGTGGCAAAAAGAAGGTTAAGCCTGATTGCAGTCTGTAAGTACCTAAATGGTGAACAAATATTTACCAATGGGCTATTCAATCTAGCACAGAAATATGTAACATGATTCAATGGCTGGGCATTGAAGTGAGGCAAATTTACACTAGAAATAAGATGTACATTTTTAACAGTGAGAGTAATTAACCATTAGAACAATTTAACAAGGGTGGGTTCTCCATCACTGACCATTTTAAATCAAGATTGGATGTTTTTTTCTAAAAGATCTGCTCCAGGAATTATGTGGGAGAAGTTCTTATGGTCTGTGTCACAGGACATTGGACTAGATGATCACAAGGGTACGTTCTGACCTTGGAATCTATGAATGTTACTGGTACTATTTTTTTTTTGTATCCCCAAACCCAGATGACCTTAGCAGTATGAGTGCAAATGTCCAGCCCTTGAGAAAGAAATTAATCACAAATACACTTTAGAAATGTCTAAACTTTAAATTAGTTTTTCTTTACGTAATAATATCAAGATTTTATGGTCTACTCCACCCACAGGGAAGATTTCCAGGTTCTACTTCTATCAAGTGCTCCTGTTTCTGGCACACCTGGGAAACAGATATCACACCTTAACCCCCTGACTGACTGAAGACTGAATAGTGGCATAGGTCTCAGGCCAAGATAATTTGTTTAATAACTGGTGGTAATTTTATTTTTAAATGACAGCTCCTTGACATTGCTAAGGTAAATTGTACTAGTTTTAGCAAAGATGGATTAATAAGCAGAGTGTAGATGAGGTGTTCAGAGTTGCATGATAAATACAGTTTATCCCATCTCTGCAACTTATCACATAGATAAATAGAGCTGAACAGTAATTTTATGTTGAAATGGTTTTTTGAATGTGGTTTCCACAAAATCAAATTTTTCTGCAGTTCCTGTATTTCTATGACACTTGAAGTCTATGTGGCAGTGATAGCTATGGGTGCAGAGGGATAGCTCAGTGGTTTGAGCATTGGCCTGCTAAACTCAGGGTTGTGAGCTCAATCCTTGAGGGGGCTGTTTAGGGATCTGGGGATTGGCTCTGCTTTGAGCAGGGGGTTAGAGTAGATGACCTCCTGCTCCCTTCCAACCCTGATATTCTATGAAATATCCATGTGGTAAATTAATTGTATTTATCATGCATTTTGACTTTCTCTGCTTCCCACTAAAACAAATATGCAGTGACAAGTTTAACATCTGGGTTGAAATACTGGCCCATTGAATTCAATGCAAGTTTTGCCATTGACTTCACTGGGGCCAGAATTTCATCCCCGATATCTTGCAACCCATCAGGACTAGGAATGGGAGCTTTCTACCATTATTAGAAAGCCAGGAATTCTTCCTTTCAAACAGGCTTTTTTTTCTGGCTTTGGTGGATTGTGAAATGACTGGCCAGAAGACTGCAAAATTATTATGTATGAAAAACCTATGTTAGGTAACTGTAGAAGTGTCACCAATTATTAGCCATACTTTTTGCTCTCTCTTTGAGGCCAGTATAGTTAGAATAATTTCCTTCCTATTTTATTATTTTGAAATTAAACACAATCATTTTATTAAATCAACACTAGTACAGATACACAAACAGAAATGTGAATTGATAGGAAAGGTAGTTAATTTGCTAATTAAAAGACCGTTCTAGATCAATCCAATTATCAGCATTTACTAGGTGGGTATTACATATTAGATTATCACTGTTGCTTTACAATTATGGTGTAAAAAGACCAAGCTCAGAACTATACTACCACTAGTATTAGCATATTTAATATTTCCATACTTTAGAAAATAAATGATGCATTAATGGAGTCACCATATGGGAAGACGCACATCTCAGTTTTGTTTCCAATCTGACTGTATGCCTCCTATCCACTAGTGCAATGCTGAAGAGCATGTATTGCAAAAACTTGCAGGGATACATTTAAATTCAGATTTTAAAAATCTCTTTTTATTCAAACAAAAGAACCATTTAAATATTTCTAATAACCTTTAGGTATGTAAATTTTTTAATTTAAAACCACCTAATTTTAGGGCCTTAAGCAACCTGAATATGTTCCTTTATCTGCCTTCCCTTCCCCCCAATTTATTTAGCATGCATACCAAAAGTTTAGTGGATATTGTGTTACTTTGCTAACTTGATTGGATATGTTAACTAGTACTATCACAAATGCTTAATACTGGACTACGGTACCTTCATGAGCTGTGTATGAAATTTCTGTATCCTGCTTCTTTTGGCTTTGTATTTTAGCCTGATGCTTTGTTGGGGTAATTGTACCTTTTCTGGTTGTAAACTTCTGAAGAGTAGGATAAGTTATTAAATAAACAAATTTCTGCTGTATACCCCGGTATTCAAGTAGCTTAATCATCATTTCATTTTTATTTCAATCCATTCTCTAGTGCGTAATAGTCCTTTGGGGTCAGATTGTGATTGCTCCTTGTACAAAGAGTAGGGGATAGGCTGGTCATGATTGCAGTCAATACAATGCTCCAAGAGCAGGGTAACAATCCTATGCTTTGTATCATGTGCCCCCTACTTTGGTCATCAGCTCCCTGATCTTCAACAATGAAAGCCTGAGCCTGTAAAAACTGAGCTAAAGTTGTAACTTCATTAGGAGACTTTTATCCTGGCATGCAAACCATTGCATGTGCAGCTGTAGAGTAGCTTAAATCTGAAAACTGGCCACTGGGCAGCTTAAACTCAGACTCAAGTTTACCTAAAGTGAAAATGTGGTTGAAGAGCCAGAGCAAGCAAATACTACTTTCAGGGACTGATTGGTTTTTACTATGGCCTTCATAATTCTGATAGATGTTCAGACAGCACAAGGGCGAGGCTTGGTATAAAACCCAGAAAGACATAGCCTGCAAATATCTTGGTTAGATCCCTTTAAACATTCTTGCTTTTCAGGCCATATTGCATGTTTTCCATATTGTACGCATTTGTTGCTTTTCTCCAGGCCTTTTCGAAATTTGCATTTTGGATACAATTACTGTTCCTTCTGGGTTGTAAATTTTTACTATTTCTACAAGTACTTATATGGATAGGAAACATCCCTCAGCCAGGAAAGTCTTTCAAACCTATAGAGCAGTGGTTCCCAAACTTGTTCCGCCACTTGTGCAGGGAAAGCCCTTGGTGGGCCGGGCCGGTTTGTTTACCTGCCGCGTCCGCAGTTTCAGCCGATCGTGGCTCCCAGTGGCTACGGTTCACTGCTCCAGGCCAATGGGAGCCGCTGGAAGCGATGCGGGCCGATGGACGTACTGGCCGTTCCCGCTTCCAGCAGCCTCATTGGCCTGGAGCAGCAAACCATGGCCATGGGCAGGTAAACAAACCGGCCTGGCCTGCCAGGGGCTTTCCCTGCACAAGCGGCGGAACAAGTTTGGAAACCACTGCAATAGAAACATTCTAAGTTTGACTTCTGTAAGGCAATCCAAACCAGACACAATACTCTAAATATGGGCATATTGTTGTATGCAATCGTATCACAGTATTCTCTGAATTGTTTTGGATCCTTTTTCTAATATTACCAGGCATTGTATGGTTTTTTAACTCCTGTTGCAGACGGAGTAGATTTCTTTCTTAACTTGTCCAACAATGACTCAAATATTTTTCCTGAAAATTTAAGTCCATTAAGGCATTCAGCTATCACAGTGAGGGTTGAGCTTATAAAACCCTAGATCAGTGATACTCAGACTGTAGCTCTCAAGCGGCAAGTGACTTTTTAATATGTCTGCTGTGGCTTTCTGAAGCATATGATATTAAAATACAATGATTTAATTATTAACCAATCTAAGTTTATATATATAAACAAAATATTTTCCCTGTCATTCACATTACTGTGGCTCTTTTGGGTAAATGCTGATCACTAATTTGGCTCCTGAACCACTGGGGTCTGACTATCACTGGCCTAGATAGATTAATAAATATATTAAATTGGTCATAGCCCACTATTCATTTCTCTCCACTGTGAGGACTAGCCATTCACTATGACTTTTTATTTCCCATTATGTAGCATGTTTTTACTCAAGACGTTTTTCCTTTTATCCATCATTGTCCCAGTTTAAGGAATATTATCAAAAGTGTTTTGAAAATTAGCATTACGTTATGTCTATTGGGTCACCTATGTTAAAATTTTGTTTTAGTAACACTTTCAAAGAACAGGTGAGAGAAGCATGATTTTCTATGAGAGAAGCGAAGGGAGATTGTTGGTGTAAACTGTCACAGCTTTGTTGAATTCAATGGAATTATGACAATTTACACCAACTGGAGATCCAGCCCACCATATTTGTTTGCCCATGGCAGAGCTTATTTATCCAAGTAGTCTATTATACTCTCCTTAATTAGATGCTCCTTAGTTTCCAGGACTTTAGGGCCTCCTCTGTCTGTCTTGTGCCAGCAATGCCCCTCTGCCATGTACATTGGCCAAACCTGACAGTCTCCACGCAAAAGAATAAATGGACACAAATCTGACAGCAGTAACTATAACGTTCAAAAACCAGTAGGAGAACACCTCAATCTCCCTGGACACTTAATAACAGACTTAAAAGTGG